AGCAGGAATGTTCTTCTCCTTGAGCTGGCCAGGCTCAGAGCCCACCAGCTTCTTCAGCGCTGAGAACATCTTGACTGAGCTTCACCAGCTTCACTCTGCAGTAGAGAGGAACTCTGGCTGATGACTCCTTAATGACAACACAAGTAAAAGTGTAGCAGCGTATCTTCACGAGCATGGAAGTTAAGGATCTATGCTGAGATGCAAATATGATGCCAAATCACTTCGTACCAACTTCAGTGGTTTACTGAATTTAGCGGTGCCTCTTTTAAAGTTGACCAGATGTTTTTCTTTGCCTGTCACAAGTAGAATTTACTACCATGTTGTTTTGAGCATCATCTAAGGGGAAAAAAAAACAAAGAAAAACACAGAGACAGAGGTTGGGGATTAAAGACTCTTGTTTAGATGAAATTCTTCTGTTAACATGTAGGTGTGATGAAAAGGACAGGCTTGATATTTTTTGCAAAAAATGAAAATTATATCAAACTATGCTCAAGTGTTAGAACATGAGAAAAACCACAAATCCACTAGTTCCAGCTTCTTGTGCGAGTTTGTCACTCTTATGTGGAAATAAAATAAATGAATGCGAATTGTAAGTTATTCAACTTAAAAAAAATTAAGATATGCTTTATTTATTCAAAAAGTTGGAAAAACTGCTGTGTACAGCTGGAAACTAATTCTCAGTAAAATAAACACAATATAACAAGAAAACAACAACAGCACAGCTAGTATGAACGCCATTAGACCACGACAGTCAAAAGACAGTTTATGTGGAAGTGCATTAAAGGTACAGTATGGAAAATCTCACTGACATGACATCAGCAGATTGTATTCAACTAAAATATGTTTTCTTACCTGCCCCAATTCAAATTTGTCCTACATGGGCCACTGTAGTTGGGACTAGAGCAGGGTGATATGACCAAAAATATTTATCACGATATACATTTGAAAATTTGTGATAACGATATAACTGACGATATAATCGACACTAGACAAAATACTTTACAACTCCACAACTTTATTTGTGCAAAAAAAAAAAAATCAATGCATTTTCACTTAAACAAGCAGCTGTTTTTTTTTAATCTGCATTAAAGTCACATAAAAATTTAACAGTGCAAATGCAAAATCCTTGCTGACAGTTTAACCAAAAGGCATTTCCAGTGGAAATTGGCCGACATATCCTCAGCATAACCATGTATAATATCCACAAAACTTAAAAAGAGGTTATACACATAATACAGTAATATTATGTTGAAGCACAGTACGTAGCACTCCGCGAGGCTCCTGCCTACGATAGCTGTAATGCTCCAACAATCCATCAAGCGGTGCGGGTTCCTAGCTTAGCAAAGTCGTGCTAAAACATTTGACAGATTTTCCAGTGCCGTGTACGACATAAAATCGTTTCGAGGTCAGTAAACACAACCAGAATTCATACATAAGGCACACGGGATTATAAGGGGCACTGTTGATTTTCAGAAAAATCAAAGGATTAATTTTAAGTGTGCCGTATTTTCCAAAAAAACACGGTAATAACGATGGCCCGCTAGCATGCGCTACCAAAAATAATGCTTTGTTGTGTATCTGACGGACGAAAGCTAAACCAGTGCCACACCACTGAAGTTGTAGCATATTTACAAACCAATTCTGGTTCATCCGTTTCATTTAACAATCAGCTTTTGCCCTTCTCATTCTCTGTCGCCGCCATGTTTTTTCCGCCATGTGCGTATGAAAACAAAAGCACTGCACATGCGTGTTTTACCCATATTCTATCGCGATATTTCATTTTCTTATCGTTGCCTGACATTATACCGGTATTACCGTGAACGGTATGATATGACCCAGGCCTAGCTGAGACAGATATGTTTTAGTCAGCCGAGAAAGTAAAAGGAGACCGACACAAGTCTATGAGTAAGTAAGCTGCTTAGCCAGAATTAGTGAAACTTTCTTTGAAGCGGATCGAACAGTGTTGGCCTTGAACACTTATCGAACAACCTCTCATACGATGTGAGAATGTAATCAAACTTTTTATCAGAAGAAAGAGTAATTTTTCCGTCATTCAAGCCTGGGATAAAGTTGGCTTATAACCAGCTTTGTGTTAGAGAAATTAAAAGAGCTAAATGCAACCTATATAAATAAAATGTACTTAAAAGACATAATTAAACATTAATAAATGTATATTTGTGGATGCAATACTCTTTTTTTCCCTGCTAAATAACCTCAACAAATGACTGACTGACTACTTTTAAGGCTGCTTTCCAGAGCAAGAAGTCTGGAGTTTGACTCCTCCATCTGTTGTGGGGGTTCTCTCCGGGTACTCCGGCTTCCTTCCACAGTCCAAACGCATGCAATTAGATGAGTAAGGTTCACTGGCAATGCTAAATTGCCCATAGTTGTCAATGTGAGTGCAAATGATTGTCTGTCTCAATATGTTAGCCCTGCGACAGACTGGCAACCTGTCCCAGGCGTACCCTGCCTCTCACCCTATGGTAACGGGGATAGGCTCCAGCATCCGTGCAACCCTGATAAGGATAACCGGAAGAGAATGGATGAATGATGTTATCTATCATTATCTACATTTATACTGCCCAATAAATTAAAATTTTAAAAACAAAGAAACAGGAGGAAAAACCTTTTACCACGTTTTGACAACTTCACTGTTGCGCACACGCTTGGAACACCACAAACACAACAATCGGATGATCCAAGCAGAGTTAGCTAGAGAGTTAACGAGATAAAAGTAGTTCTAAAACAACTGTCCGTCCATAGAAACTTCTAAATATAGTTTTAGATTGCACTTTCACTTTGATCCATCCCTCTCCTGCCAGTTTCAAAACGCCAGGAAGACAATCACAAAGATACTCATCTGGGGTGATGTCATAGTAGCTTAGTTTATTAAAGCACAGCTTCAATTACAGCTGAAGATGACAGGGTAGAAAGCATAAGGATTTTGCACTTGACTAAATATTCATTACACTCAATCATCCCTGCCACAGAGACAGGACTGGTCAGAACTTAACAGTAAATCACAATCTATACTTTACCCCACACAGTCCAAATTTTACTGTTAAATCATTTGATAAACGGCTGGCTTTGACGGGTCGGGGGAGGTAATCTCGACTATGTTACCAAAATGGTAATGGGAGAACATGAAAGGCACAAGCTGAAGCAAGACATAATGACGACGTTGTCAGATGATTCTTCGCAGTAGGTTTAATGACAATGAATAAGAAACTGTCTCTAAAACAATATTTGACCAGCTGAAAAACAGAAAGCTTCAGAACACGTCTCCGTGTCCTGATGGGAGCTATCACAGTGTCCCTACAGGAAATACATTATTCGCTATCAAGATCAGCTTTGTCTTCAGTTGACATTATTAGTACAAGCTCCGTGTCTGTTTGTATTAAAAAGTTAATAAAAAAAAGTATTAACTAGCTCAAATCCAAAGAGCCGAGCAATTATCTACCAATGGCTGCGAATTAATTCTGTTTTCAGGTTGAATTTCCCTTTCACCGTTATCCTGCTAGCATTAGCTGACTGTGCTGCTCGCTCAGCTAGAACAGTGAGCTTTGCTTAATATATCAAGCAATGTGTTTAAGCATTCTTAAATCAGAAAATTCGAAAGAGTATGTAAAGGTCAATTCGGATTTCAAAAAGAGATGAGGCAGCCCGGCTTGTTACCTAACGTTACACCAGCTAAAGGGTAACGTTATCCTTCGGCTTCTCTTTAGCTAGCAATCCAGGCAATATTAGCTTAGCTTTGCCACTTCTGCGCTCAGTGACACTACACGACAGCACGTCAGGATGAGTTTTTCAGGTTAACGTCAGCTGCAAATACTCACGGGTATATATTAAGATAGGAGCGTGCAGTCCCAGCATCTTTTCCTCAAAACATCTGTCAGACCTCCATCCCGACAGAGATATAGCAGCGACATTCCTTTGCAAAGAAAACAGCTACCGCCGATCATCAAGTAGCACGCAAAACTTGTGAATATCCGGTTTCAAAATAAAGCTCAAGCTTAGCGATACCGAAACATTATTTAAGCTTATGCTCCAAGTAGCTTACTCATGGATATTCTTACTTAAATTTCAATAGGTCTGAGTAGGTTTCCAACAATACAGAAGAAGTTGCGCCTCGAATTTTTTTCTGCATATTTATTTGTTTGTGTTTGCAGATTGCCACATATTGTGAAACCAATACAATCTGGATTGTATTGGGCTGCCTCTGAATGTGAAATCTCCTGCTTACTGACTGACAACTTGTGACTCATAAATTATTATCCAGTGAGCACAGGGATGATTCTCGTTTTTTCCTTGAACTCCAATAATGAGTAATCAATTTGGGCTCATGTTTTATTCAGCATTACCTGAAACTAGTGACTAAGCCCATAAAGTCATCAGTAAAGTGTTTACTGACATCACAGATGGTTATTTTCCCATAGACTTCTATAGAACTAAAAGTCTTACTGCAACCAAAGGAGTTGCCCCCTACTTACCATGAAATAGAATGCAGCTTTAATCTTTTATACTGTTTATGTCAGGTAACTGTAACTACTAAAATCCACGTGTTTGGTGTTGGTCATTTATGAGCTAATAAATCAATTTACAGATACTAATACTAATACTAATACTAATATACTAATTTACCAGCAAGCGAGTTTGGTTGAAATACAATTACGGTAACCAAACTAAAGAATATTTTATGAATTTAGTTATTTTATGAAGTCTGGGCAATAGTTCACTTGAATTGTGTATACTAATGAGAATTAACACATAATACCTGGTAAGTCTCATGATTTTGCTATTTTCCACGTGGATGTGCACAGTTTCAGACAGCTTTAGGGTAGAACAAGATCCATTTTCTTTACTTTCTCACATTACAACCGATTGCCGATTTTCGCTTTTATTTTCAAGACGTAACTATAGTACTTCCGAGATTAAGTGCAGTTAGCTTGCCGCGGCTGTCGTGGTGGTCGAATCTAGACCGTCCAATTTATCCCAGCCAGCTTCCTGATGACACAGATGCTCTTCTTTTGGACTTGCGGCACCTAGCGGCAGACGTAGCAACTTACAGTAAAGCGCAGCATCCTCAGCTGTTACTGTTATCACATGAAAACGCCTGGACGTGTTTGTCAATGCAGATGAGGAGTTAGATGTCGTCATTTGTTCATAAACAAAGCAGGTATACACGCTTTAATAAATTGCTAAAGAGCAATGAGTCGTTGCTTGCGGGTATTTTTACAGTCATATTCAGCTGTGTTTGCTATCTTGAACACACCCCGCTGAGTACCCCGATATTGTTCAAGGGGAATAATGGCTGCACAGGAGCCGTCTCCACCATCTTCCCTGGAAGGTAACAAACCGGGCTTCCCAAAGAAAATTTTGGCTAACAACCTGGAGGATAAGCATTTGTGCAACTCGTGTCAGAAAATCCTGAGAAGGCCCCTGCAAGCCCAATGCGGTCACCGCTTTTGTTCGTTCTGTTTCAACAAAATTGTGAGGTGAGTAGTCCTGGATGCTAGTGAGCTAGCTAGATATATGTAGCCCAAAATAAGCATTCAGATCCCGTCACCAGCCTTCGTTCAAATATCTCTCCATGTAACATTTATTGACACGTGTAACGCTGTATGCCTGCACAAAGAGAGTTGAATTACAAACAAAATACAGCTAAACTGAACCTACAGGTGATAAATGAATAGCGTCCTTATCTAAATAATATCTCAACTTGTCTATGTGCGATAGACTGGCTAGGTGTCCTCGTAGTCTCGTCCTGCTAACCTCTGCTGGGGTCGGCAGGACACAGGAGCCAGCCAGGGGTGTGCATTTCGAGAAGTTGAACCTGACAGCGCTTTATTGTACTGTCAGGTCGGTATTGTGCCGAATTCACTAGAAGGTCTGGCACCTCTCGGTGTCTTTAAAATGTATTATCTCCCTGCGTCTGTTGTCTAGTAAGTGTGCCAAAATAAAGTTGCCAGTTTTTTCAAGGTAAAATTCGGGTGACCTAACGACTCAGGCTTCAAGAAGGACCAGCTGTTCATAGATTTATATATGTTTAGTATTTCTTACTAGTATTGTTTTATATGTTTTATATTTTCAAATGCAGTAATAAGGAGTGCATTTTTAAATGTATATATTTCTGGATTTATAGTGGTACAGAAACAAAAACACAGGGTTAAAGCACCGCGAGTGGACCTTTGTAGTGACTCACCTGTTTTCTTCTCTCACACTGCGCAGGTGTGTGATGACACGAGACCAATTTCAGTTTCACTTATGTTTTAGATGACTTGTTTCTCAAGAATGAATCAGTTATTTAACTTCACAGATCCTAAGGTGTTAGACATCCATCTGTGCCCTACACTCACTTCTGACTTTTACTAATTATTGTGTGTAATCTAATCTAAGATATGAGTGTGCTCATTTTATTTACCTAGAGGGGGAGGTGGGACAACACCCCAGCACACACCCTAACTTTTTCACAAATGCTTGTCTTTCTTTGCATTTGTAGGTGTAAAAAAAAATAAAAAAATAAAACTGGATTAATATACCTATGAAAGAAATTCAACACAAATCATGTTTGTGTGAGTGATTAAAGAGAAAATAGTCTTCTGAAAGTAAGAAGGCATCTATTCTGCTTATTTTCGAGCTCAATATTTTACTAATGTAGCTTTCCGGTATTTGAAATGGATCCTTATTTGTGTTACTCCTGGGCCTTAATCCAGCCCCTCAATTCATCTGTAAAGCAATGTGTTGCATCTCCTCTCCATTTAAAACCACGTTTCTTCCTATTGGCTGCCCCTTCCAAACACAGAGTGGTTGTTTCCAATGCTGTGTACCTCACCACACCTCACCTCCTGACATTATACAGAGCCAACAAAAAAAGCGTAACACAGGTGCTTTTCTTTTCGATTTACACATATTCTTATGGTACTATTTGATCATTTCACCATGTTTAACATGGGCATTCACCATTGTAAGAGTAAAATATACAATGTGCAGTACTAGACTGACTTGAAATAAACTGTCTGTGTAATAAATGCATGTCTGGATAGAAAAACACAATGGAAGACTATCATTGACTAGCCTCCCCAAAGCTTGGAACTCAGCATTATAGAAACACTCATCTTGACAGGCAGCAAAATGAATGGCAGCCAACATCCAAAGAAGAGCTTTAGAAAGCCCTTAAAGAAGCCTGGAGAACTACTCCTGAAGGCTAGTTTAAAAAAACTACAAGAAAGATTCCCTAAGAGATTTTAGGCTGTTTTTAAATAAAAGTTTACAATTGGGTTTGACCAAATATTAAAGAATTCAGAATAGGTGCCTTTTAAAGTATCACATTTCTGTATTTTTCCCCTTTATAAATGACCTTGAAATTTTCAATTATGTTATTTTCAGATAAATATAGTGCTCTAATCTGAAAAATGTAGGCCTTATTGGATTTTCACCCTCTTCCAGCTCTTAGTTGTTTTTCAACCTATAGTTGTTGTATTGTGCCATCATACTTGAAGACCATGGCATGTATTTTGAGTGTTCAGACAAAGTTGAGGTAAGGTCATACAGTGGGGCAAAAAAGTATTTAGTCAGCCACCGATTGTGCAAGTTCCCCCACCTAAAATGATGACAGAGGTCAGTAATTTGCACCAGAGGTACACTTCAACTGTGAGAGACAGAATGTGAAAAAAAAATCCATGAATCCACATGGTAGGATTTGTAAAGAATTTATTCGTAAATCATGGTGGAAAATAAGTATTTGGTCAATAACAAAAATACAACTCAATACTTTGTAACATAACCTTTGTTGGCAATAACAGAGGTCAAACGTTTACTATAGGTCTTTACCAGGTTTGCACACACAGTAGCTGGTATTTTGGCCCATTCCTCCATGCAGATCTTCTCGAGAGCAGTGATGTTTTGGGGTTGAGGTCTGGAGACTGGCTAGGCCACTCCAGGACTTTCAAATGCTTCTTACGGAGCCACTCCTTTGTTGCCCGGGCGGTGTGTTTTGGATCATTGTCATGTTGGAAGACCCAGCCTCGTTTCATCTTCAAAGTTCTCACTGATGGAAGGAGGTTTTGGCTCAAAATCTCACGATACATGGCCCCATTCATTCTGTCCTTAACACGGATCAGTCGTCCTGTCCCCTTGGCAGAAAAACAGCCCCATAGCATGATGTTTCCACCCCCATGCTTCACAGTAGGTATGGTGTTCTTGGGATGCAACTCAGTATTCTTCTTCCTCCAAACACGACGAGTTGAGTTTATACCAAAAAGTTCTACTTTGGTTTCATCTGACCACATGACATTCTCCCAATCCTCTGCTGTATCATCCATGTGCTCTCTGGCAAACTTCAGACGGGCCTGGACATGCACTGGCTTCAGCAGCGGAACACGTCTGGCACTGCGGGATTTGATTCCCTGCCGTTGTAGTGTGTTACTGATGGTGACCTTTGTTACTTTGGTCCCAGCTCTCTGCAGGTCATTCACCAGGTCCCCCCGTGTGGTTCTGGGATCTTTGCTCACCGTTCTCATGATCATTTTGACCCCACGGGATGAGATCTTGCGTGGAGCCCCAGATCGAGGGAGATTATCAGTGGTCTTGTATGTCTTCCATTTTCTGATGATTGCTCCCACAGTTGATTTTTTCACACCAAGCTGCTTGCCTATTGTAGATTCACTCTTCCCAGTCTGGTGCAGGTCTACAATACTTTTCCTGGTGTCCTTCGAAAGCTCTTTGGTCTTGGCCATGGCGGAGTTTGGAGTCTGACTGTTTGAGGCTGTGGACAGGTGTCTTTTATACAGATGATGAGTTCAAACAGGTGCCATTCATACAGGTAACGAGTGGGGGACAGAAAAGCTTCTTACAGAAGACGTTACAGGTCTGTGAGAGCCAGAGATTTTCCTTGTTTGAGGTGACCAAATACTTATTTTCCACCCTGATTTACGAATAAATTCTTTACAAATCCTACCATGTGAATTCATGGATTTTTTTTTCACATTCTGTCTCTCACAGTTGAAGTGTACCTCTGGTGCAAATTACTGACCTCTGTCATCATTTTAAGTGGGGGAACTTGCACAATCGGTGGCTGACTAAATACTTTTTTGCCCCACTGTATGTTATACTTACTGAGGCATTGTATGCCAAATGTTCAATGGTAGTTTGACATTGCCACAGTGTAGGGCTGGGCGATATGACCCAAAATTCATATCTCGATGTTTTTTAGCTGGATGGCGATATAAGATATATATCTCGATTTTTTTTTTAAAGCCATAAGTTAAGAACAAAAAGAGAGTTCTTAGTCACACTGTGTCCCAGATGTCACACGGGCACTTTTATTTACATACAGCGTAGATGTACATGAAGAAATTACTCAAAAATAAATTATCAGCATTTATTAAATAATCATGGTCCATAAATAAAAGAAAACAATGTTGTTTTTGTGCATAACAAAAAGCTCACAATTGTGCAGTCAAAATGTAAACTAATAGACGCTGAGCATAATAACAAAGAGACAGATTTCACAGCTGCACCACGTCTCTGAACAGGTGCCATTTGTGGTCCTTATACACACAGTACGTATCACTACGCGAGGCTCCTTCTCGGTAGCCGTAATCCTCCGACAATCCATCAAGTGGTGCAGCTCCGTAGCTTAACAAAGTCATGTTAAAACATTTTTTGACAGATTGCTGAGCGCTGTGTCCCACATAAAATCGGTTCGCGGTCAGTAAGCACAACCAGAATTCATACATAAGGCGCGCTGTCGATTTTTGAGAAAATGAAAGGATTTTAGTCCGTGCAGCCCCTCCTGGCTGCATGTCGTTAGCGCGGTTAGCTCGTTAGCGCGGTTAGCTCGCTAACACGTTGACGCCATCCAGCCCCACGCACGGTAACTTGCTAATGGAGATTTTCCGCTTTCATCTTGTCATTGCCTGCAGGTGAAGCTATGGGGGAGGGGGAGTTGTGTTCAGTGAAGGAAAGGCCAGGCCGAGTAACGTTGCATAGAGACAAAAGTGGACGAAAGAGAGGCAAACCTGCGGCTCCACAAGTATAATTATAACGTAACATAGACTATATCGATATAAACGATATTGTCACATCTTATATCTCGTATGAAAATATATCGATATTTTTAAAAAACTCGATATATCGCCCAGCCCTACCACAGTGTTTATTATTTATGTGTTTTTTTTTCTCTTTGGAAGTTGTGGACCACAGAAATGCAGTGCATGCATCAAAGAAGACCTGTTTGAGGAACCCACCTCGATCCTTAAGCAAGGTGGTGTAAGTACATTTTATTACAGTTCCACTTTATTAGCATTTTTAGCAGTTTTCTTAATAGAGTTTGGCCTGGTTTGGAATTTTTATAAAGCACTGTAATGTCATAGTCATTGTTTCTGTTCAAATCTAATGGCCTGCAGTTTAGATCCAACACAACAGAAACTTTGTGACTGCTCTATAGGTCTTAGCAGTAACAACAATAGATGGAACAGCTATAGCCATTTTATCCTCTGACCATATGTCCTGAATCTCCCTGAAAAATGAAATTGGTGCATCCTGGCTTAATCTGAACTGAAGATACAAACCAAACAACACTGACAACAACCTCCTTTTTTTCCCACCCAGGCTTTCCCTGACAATGCAGCCCGCAGAGAAGTGGAGGCCTTGGCAGCTGTCTGTCCCAATGAAGGATGCATATGGACTGGAACTGTCAAAGAATTTGAGGTGATTTCAATCAATCAATCAATCAATCAATCAATCAATCAATCAATCAATCAATCAAAGCTTTATTCGCCACATGCAGGTTGCCCTGCAGTGAAATGGGACCGCCCCGACCTTACACACACAACACAGACATTACATGGGGATACAAGTCGGAGATTGGTAGCGTTACAGAAAAAACACTGAAATGTACGCTA